GCGAAACAGAGAAGGGAGGGAGCGCTGGCGCATCTGCTGGCTCGGCAGTCTTTGGGCGAGCAGGGCCGACTGGGCGAGTTCGTAAGAGTGGAAGTTGGCGGAGGCGTGAAACAAGGCGAAATTTGCTCCTCGAATGCCCGCATTAGCGTGTGGGGAGTTTTTCGTGATAATTGTTCTGTGTAAGTGTCCGAGTAGTTTAGAGCTTTGATAGCCAGCCTGGTGCTCATTGCCGAGTTCTGGCCCACAATTGTTGTTTTGAGTTACAGGAGACGGGCCAAAGGAACTGGGCTCCGAATCTGTCGAGCTGGTCGGTGTGTGTGTGTTGAGCGCAGTTCGTTGTTTCGAATTTGTTGGCCAAAATTGGCTTTGCTCAGATTGATTGTGTTGCCGGTACGATGCAGCAGTATCAGGTCCAGTCGCAGTTATGAATGAAATTCCGCGGAACAGCGAAGCTGCGAGGTGCCGGAGCTAGTCAGCCAGTGATGCTTCCCTCGGCGTCTTCGTCCTCGTCGTCGTCGTTGCCGCGTCGTGCTCACGATGCAGCGCAGTATTCGCGATGTTGCGATCTCTGTTCGCAGGAGGTCGTACTCTGCAGCCGTTTCGAGTTTGCCCAGCATTTGCGTCGTATGCACTGCACCAGAGAAGGAGGATCGTTTATTTGTCGGTACATTTCCCTCTTTTTGCACATAAAATTCCCGGATTTTCGGCACGCAGGGCAGTAAAATTCTTAACTTTGTCATCCTTGCACGAAAATGGCACCGTTCGGTAAACGTAGTGCTCTAACCCAGCAAAATTGTTCATTTCGTCTAAATAGCATGAAATGATTGCTTAATATTGTCGAAAGTTCTAAAGTTTTTTTTTTTTCCAGAATCAGCTTTTTATGCGTTTTGTTCTGTGTAACAGTTGTGCAAAACACATATTGTCACGTCGCTATCTGTGTGTGTTTATTTGTTTGTCCGGGTACGTTTTATTTCGGGAACCACAAAAGCTAGGAAGTTGAAATTTTAAGGCTATATCTCAAACCTGTGGGGGATCCCAAAAATTTAAATTCAGTCTCCACTTATGCCTAAGTTTCATATGCGAAGGAGTTTTGGCGCAGAATTTTCTCTTCGGGGACTGGCAAGAGCAAGGCTGAAAATGCTTCGTTTAAATCCTGAAACTTCAAATTAACCTTTCGCATACAATTCTGAACATGTGAACTTCTAATTAGCGGATTTTTGGTTCGGGGGCCAGACAAAACAGAAAACTAAAATTGTTTGAGGATGTTTTTTGTTCATGTGCGAACCTACATATTCAAATTTCGTTTCTGTGAACACCTACGTTTCAAACATAGACATATGGAAATTCGTATTTTTGCGCATACTGAACTGTAATACACCGAATATTCTCAAGAGAAACCGCCCGAGAATTGTGTAAAGTGCATGCTCCTCGCACCGGCTGCCCTGGTTGTTGGCGCTATTTATTGTTTTTCAGCGCATTTCCTGGCCAGTCGCTTTTAGTTTGTTTCAGTTTGTATCGTTTAGCTAAAATTTGATTCTTTCTAAGTTTTCCTGTTTTTCTCGTCCGATGCATTCGTGCCTTACTGAAACTTGAAAATACTCAGAGATAAAAGTGCGGAAGCCACTGCTTCTTGTCCTGGAGAAATGAGCACGTAATATCAAACTAATCTCAACCGTTCCGCGCTCTCTCCTTGGGGCATGACATGCTGGGACTGTGACTGCATTTCAGTAGCAACAAGGGCATTTTCACGACTATTCCCAGAGCAGTCGTGGCGTTTCTGTTTGGCTGATTCAAAGTGATATTTTTAGTTACGGCTCAAATGGAGTTTGTCAATCACTGCCGCTTGAAGGCGTTTCGGATGATGATTACGAAGCGCACATTCGCAAATGTCACGCCAATGTTGGTGAGAAATTTTTAAATTAAGGCTTGATTCACAACTCTTACAATCCTGGCGTTCGTTTCGTCCCCCCAAAATTGACTGTGTAGTAGTTGGAGGACCAGGCTGTGAATTATGTAAATATCCAAGTAAAAGCTCGCATCTTATGCTTACCTGGCTTCTCCTTGATGTAGGTTTTTTTTTTCACATTCGTCCTATTACTTTTTTTTGTTTGCACCACCGACTTCGCATACGGTACCGGTTTGAGGGGTCTGCTTATTTGCTGAGACATTATTACACGACGAGCGCAACCATGCAGTGTCACCTTGCCATAAACTGCCGGTAGCCAGCCATTATATCTACTAGTTAATCTTCGGATTCCTCGGAGGTCGCTCAGATATTCGTGTTTTTGAATTGCCATCCGCTGATGCGCGATGCCTTTGTTGCCGTAGTTTTCCATGTAAGCATTTAGGCGTTCATTCTTTGAAACTGGAACCGAACTCTGAGCTTTGGTAATCGGACTTGCTACCGCTTACCAAAGCTCAGAAATCGGTTTCAATTTCAAAATTTAGAAGACTTTTCCTTGTCTTAAAGGTGACTGATTAAGAATAGAGAATGAAATTTGCTGTACATTTTGAACAGTTTTCAGTCTGAGATTTCTACGTAGTTTTTCTGAATTCTAATTTCAGCTTTTAAGATGGCCTGATGTAGTTGCGGTAGCTGTATGATTGCTGCTCAGCAAAATGTTGAAGTTATCAACGAAAGTACTGGCAATCGCGCTCCTTTTTAGCTCATTTATTTGTTTTTTTTTTCAGTTTTCGATAAAGAAACAGCACCTGATGAGAAAAGTGCTGTCAAAAGGAATATCCCGTTGAGTGGTGGTACGCCATTCACCGTAAATAGGTTAGTTATGAAGTTTTGATTTGTGCTGTGATGGTTTTTGTTTATAGAAAACGGTCACTGACTCGGCTGGCTCCGAAAATATCGCATGCTTGCATGGCGAAAGGTGCTGTAAATAACTGGCATTGTGAGCTTGGAACAAGAGACTTGGTGTAGCTGTAGACATTTTGTTGCCAGTCGCAGGGAAGGCTGTTTGTGAGCTTTTTTTTACTGCGGTGAAGCAGAGGGGAGGGGGAGGGGGAGTGGCCGTGAATATGGGGTAAAGTACTGACATTGGTTTCTTGAAAAGCAGCTTAAAATTTGCCGTTAGAGTTTTGTTAAGACTTTTCAAAGCTAGCGGTGCTGCATACAGAAATTGTTCGCAACGAGTTAAAGTGTTAATTTTGGTTTGATCGAACTCCGGCAAGCAAAAGTGTGGAGATATTGTAATAGGCGGTATAAGTTGTGGACAAAAATAGCGAAGCCGAATAATGTTGTTCGGCTGCGTCCAGCCGGAAGTGTGTCGCAGTAAATGTTGTGCGCTGGCAACCAGTCGTGTTTGTGAGAGGGTGCACATAAAATATCAAGGAAGTGCTGTGATGTGTCGAGCTTCCGGCGCATTTAATTCATGCTAGATTTGATCAGAGTTGTGCTGAATTGACAAAATATAACCAAACTCATGCTATTTTAAGTACTTTTGCTCTCGTCTGTTCACGCCTGGCGTTTATACAGCCATTTGGTCACTAATTCAGTGCACACTAGCGTTGCTTCTTGACTGATTTTTATTTCCAGCTTTTGCTTTAAAAAGCCTGAATTCTTTGATCGTTTGGTACAGCTTCTTGTATTTTCTCTTCAAAGCTAGCTTGTGTTTTTCCTATTTCCACACAAATCTCGCGCTTCGGATTCTCCATCTTACTAGGCATGGATTGGCAGCTGAAGCACATTAAATAATTAAATGATAAAGTTAGAGGAAAAGAGAAGCGCAAAATGCATGTGATTGGCTGGGTAGCGCGGAGCGCATGTTTCGTTTTTTATTTTGCCTACAAATATGTATTTATGTATAATCATAACAATCAGTTCGGCCCTGTTCTTCTTCAGCTTGCCTGTTGCTGAACTTCTCATTCATCGTCTGAAAAATAGCACAGCTGACCATGATGTTGAATGGTACTAACACTTTTATTGGCAAAGCAGAAACATTTGCTGTTTCAGTTCTGTTGAGTTTTTGGATACTGGACAGTGGACCAAAAAAAACCCGATTGCAGTAATAGTGATTAAATTGATATCGATAAAATTTGTAGCTATAGTGATCGAACTAATGTACTATTTCGCTTACTTATCCAAAAGCGGACAGGCGTGGCGTACTTGCAAGTGGTACCACTTCAAAAGCGAATATTACTATCTGCTGGCAGTAAAATCAATTTCTTTAGGATCTGCTGATTCTTTCTGATGACAAAATGATAGTGGTTTTTGCCCTGGAAGAAAGAGCCATCGACAGCTGTCGGGTAGCTGGCAGAGTGCCACTACTTCGGCTTTTTCCTAGTGCCTTTGCATAATTAAAGTCAGAAGCCGGTACTCCCTCCGTATTCGCTGTTTGTGAGAGGCCGAGATACTCGGAAAGTAGCACCCCTTGCATCAAAGAGAATAAGATTTAAAGCGGACTTTGGCTTTTGGCCTTAACTTGCATCAGCTTTGTGCCTGGTCTACCCTCACGTTTGTCCGGAAATTCGCCAGCGTTCCAGTCGGGGTTCTTGATGTTGATGTCAGGCGTGACTGTGCCATTCGTCCTGTCCTGAAAAGTTCATTCGTCTAGTATTATTATAGCTGCACAGTCCTCCGTTTTTGTGGATTCGCCAGAATCTGAGTGCAGACAAACATTAGAAAATGTGGTTAATTTTAAGTGCAGGGACAGTAGCGGATTGATGGAACGAGGGAGAGATGATGTTTCCAAACGACTCATTTAAAACATACGTATCTTCGTGACGACTGTCATCGCTATCCTTGCAGTGGTGGCGCTCGGCTTTTGCTCTTTTCAGCAACGAACGTTTAACAGCTCTTGTTAAAAATGCATATATGTAGGTGCTTCCCTAAAACATCTTTTAGTACTGCACTGCACCGCATTTATATCGGATTTTTTTCTCCCCATTCTTCGGAGCCGGAGCTTTTCCCAAAATGAGTCAGTGGTTTCCCTTAGTGCTAATAAGGAAGCAGTTTCTCAGCATGACTTTCGACTGGTAAAATGTTTGTCATTCCGGACATCCCGTTGAATTCAGATTTTTTTTTTTTGCCCATATTTGCATTAAAATGCTGAAATTTGTGGAAAAAAAAAAACTACCTGTATCAAACTGAGAATCGAAAGTCCAAGCCATGCTCCCATAGATCCACCAAGTGCAGCAATAAATGTTGGCATTGACCATACCCAGTATTGGGTGAGTGTGAGATATTCGAAGGAGCCCCAGTTCAGATTAATCATCGTCAGGTCTACAAATTTGATTGGCCGTGTAATGTTTTCACTTCATGTTCGGTTGAGGAATTCTTTTAGTTGGCAACGCCTCAGTTGTTTATGTAAATTCTTCGATCGTTTTGAGATGCTCCTGTACATCCACGCATAGCGATTCTGGGTCTTTTCTGACTTCGTCTGTTTGACTCTAATCTGTATTTGCCATATTTATCACGTAATAGGACTATTTCAAGCTCTTTCGATAGCTGTTTTTGCTCTCTCGCTGATACCATTGCCTTAGCCGAGTTTATTTTTGCATATTCTAATATGAATTTTCCCTTTTCTCATCCTCTTTCTTCAGCCTTAGTTCGTGGTTCAAGTTTTCAGCTAGCTGCACTCACCATTACGGCGCATTTTGCCCTGTCGTACATGATTTACATCATAAGCAATTTGATCGCAAAATCGATGACATTTCCTTTCGCAGCTGTGATCTGAGGGCCCTTCATTCTTTGCGCTAGGAAAAAGACTGATTAAAACTGATAATGTTACACATCATTTTATGATTCACAATATCGTGCGAATGCGGACTGCTCTTCCTCTTGACAGAGCGAAAAAGCAGACGCGAGAAGTGACGGTGAGAACGATGAGACAGATACGATCACTTCATTTTTAAATAAACTCGGAAGCCCAGCGCCAGAGGATTGGCGTCTGGAAGCTGCGAATGTTTCGCGGTCGATGGTGCTCGCCTATAAGTGAGTTGAACATGTGAAGAAAGCAACTAGTGAGGCAGCTCCCGAATAGGTGGTACACGTGCGTGATAGAAGTAAATATCACAGCACCGGAGGGAACGTAATGTGCCCGGTGCGCCCCTGTGTCACCAAGGGTTCCTCAGTTGCAGAATTTGTGCGAGTCCCTTCTCCAGTGGTATGAAATGGCTGAAGTATTGTTGACGTGGAAAATCGGCGAACTAACGCCCGTCGTGAAAGTTAGTGCACGACTAATCTTATGCGTGAAAAAGGTAGAATTTAAAATAATTGCTGTTGCTGGTGCCGAGCAATTTGCTAGGTTACGACATCTAAAAACATTTGCAGTGAAATTTTGATAGTGTATCGTCTCGAAGGATTTCTTTCTTGTGTAAAAGAGTGTGCTGTTGAATTTTTTGAGTCAGCCGATGATAAATTTCAGCATTTTTTTTTCCTACCACTCTACAGTCTATAACTCGCGTTTTTCAATAACTTACTCGATTTCGCATTTTTCATAGTCACAGATTGGATAAACATAATACTCGTTTTCGTTTCGCACAAGGTAGCTTAAAGTTGGCGGCGTACATTTGCACATATCCTGTAATAATTTTCTGAGTGATTACAAATTAGTCCCACAAAGATTTTTGCTCTGAAATGAGTACATGCTTTTTCAGTTTTCACTGGAACTCGGCTACATTCATTCAGCACTCGTCTTATCATTTTTTAAATCTACGTTACAAGCTGTTGAAACTGGCATGACTCAATGAGCGGAGAGTTTAACTCCCTGTGCTTGCACTGTACTGTTAAAATAGACGAGCTCGGATTGTGGTTTCATTGGGAAAACTCAAAAAATTCTTTGATTTTTACCATCGAAAACAAATTTTTGCCTTTTTGACTCTTTCCGCTCACACTTTATACATCTTTCTTCAATCACTTGCAGTGCAGGTAGCTTATTATCTTTATTAACTATAACACTGCAGGACAGAGGGAAAACTCTGGGTATTTCATTAGGCATAAATATTCATCGTCAAGGTTTCGGTTTAATTCGAATCTCGGCTCTTATCAAAACGTGCTGAATCATCATTCAGCAACATGCAGGATATAGCTTATACGTTGACTAGCAGATGAAATGAAGAGGAAATAGGTATTTCAAAATTTACAGTGATCCTTGGCGGTATCTTTGAAGTGGCGTGGCACAAGTATCAGTGATGCTAATGCACACAGCTTTATCAAAATTCGTTTTGTATTCTGTTTACGATTACACAAGAAAATTACACATTTATCTCTTTCTTGACTTGGACAGGACGAAGTTTGGGAAGGTTTGTTCGAGTATTGATGGTTTTTTGTACCAAAACCATCTGGTAACTCTGAGGTCCCAATCCTTACCGGCAAAATTCAAAATTTGAAGGGAACTTAAGTCGATTTTGAAAACTAATTCTCCTTACCCGTATCATTGTCATGCGGCATCTTGATCGGCAATCAAATTCACTTTCTTCTCCAACGTTTCTACATGCCGTACCATTTTCGTCGTTCTCTAGCATGATATATCGTGCACGCACTTCAACCGTCACTTCGTGTCGGATTCCAACACAGAGCTATGCAAGGCAAGAGTTTTCATGAAATATGGGAACACTGTGAGTTGTACCATTAGGGTTGCTCAATGTAACTTAATGGAACAACAGTTATTGATGAGACGCAGCCATTATGTGACTGCTTTTCATTAACGCAAGACGATCTCGGTGGTTTAGGTAGTATTATCTCAAGAGGTTGTAAAATTGTACATCATCATTGAAGCCGTCCCGTGCACGGCCTTTGCCTTCCATAAATCGCGACAGGGAGCTCGGCCGTCCGTGAAAATCAACCGACATACAGTCGATATCGACACCTTCCAAGTTTTCAACATTATGTGATAGTATCATTGTGAAGAAATTACCCTGAAATTAGAAACAGTTCATAAAGTTAAAGTTAGATGGCACTTAACTGTGGAGGAAATTGGTCATGGTCAAGTATTATCGCTCAGAAACCAATTCAAGCGGCTTTCGCCCAGTTGAGTAAATTGCTCTTGTCGCACTATATTGGCTTTGTGTTGGCTTATTGGTGTCAAACATATCTGTTATTTTGAACTGTCTGTGATAGCCGTGAGCTTTGCTGAGAAAACAAATGATAATTCGGATGACCTGCAGTGGTACGCATGCGAAGTAAAAACGGTGGAAGACTTTGTAGAGAAACAGCTCAGGTTAGGAGAATTTAGATTGGCTGCAATACGCCTGCTGTTGCATCCCGGTAAAGCTAAGATCTTCACACAGACTATTTGGATAAACTTGAAAATAGACATATATTCTTCATTTCTTCAGATTCTTCAAAATTTTTTACTGTTCTCGAGAGCTAGGAGTATAGATAAGTGGAACAGGGGACAGATATGATAAGAGAAGAGGAAGAAGTACTGATCCTTATTGTAAAAAATATTTAGCAGAGAAGTGAGGCCGATGAAGCTTGATAAGTTTGGATGAGATTGTCGTTAATCTGTCCAGAGCAACACTGGCCCTAGTTATGTGTAACGTATAAATTGCATCTCAGTAACATCGAGTGTTTCATAGCGCGACGCGGACATTTTACTGGTTGTGGGGCGCACCTGATCTTCAATTTCGTAGTAATTTTCCGGATCAAACCAGGGCTGAAAGCAAAACTGCATTGTTGAAATCCAGGATGTCCTAAAGCGCGTTCTGATTGTCAGATTCTCAGTGAAAGTTGTTCGTTGGAAACGCTGCATTGAATGCTTGATTGTTTCGTAACCAACTTTTTGCGTGAATTCTTCGAACGTCACATCGTGGCGTTTTAGCTCCTCAAACCAATTCTATAAATGGGCACCGTTAGAGATCACCATTCGTTCAGCTTGAAATGTTTTATTTTGAGAGTAATCACAGCAAGGCTCCCTGAGCACCTGCCATTTTTTACTTTTATCAGAGCAGGAAGTATTTTTCCCTTTTAAGGAGCTGTGCACGATCTTTCCAGCCGTACTCTAAAATCTCTTACATCTTCATCATACAGACGGCTGCAACTGGCCTTTAGTATTGACTCATAACCCTGCACAGCGCATTCGCGTCCAACTCCGTTAGATCAGACATCGCAGGCGAGCTAAG